AGTCTCCTGCCTCAGCCTCCCAAGTAGCTGGGACTACAGGCGCCCGCCACAATGCCTGGCTATTTTTTGGTTGCAGCCATCACTGCTGTTTGGAGGGCCGGGCTGGATTTGAACCCGTCACCTTAGGTGTATGTGGCTGATGCCTTAGCCACTTGAGCCACAGGCGCTGAGCTTCAGTACACTTTTCTAATGAGTGCTGGACCAGAGGAATAAAAGTTGGCTGGGAAGACTAGACATGGCTTTTTGGCTCATATGTTGAGCTTAACCAAGTTTTTATAGCCACAAGGGTGAAATTCTCACTTTCTCACACTACTACCTACCTGGGCAAGTTACTTAACTTTTCTGTACCCCAGTTTGTTCATCTGTAAATAGGATGATGATGATAATAACAACAACAGTATTTTTTCATGGAAGTATTGGGATTAAGTGACTTAATCTTTATCAAATACTTAGAACAGCAGTGGCAATAACAGTAGGTGCTATATATGTATATCCTAAATGTTTTTTTTTTATTGTTTGGGATTCTGTTTTTTTTTTTTTTTTAAGACAGAATCTTATTTTGTCTTCTTCAGTAGAGTGCTGTGGCGTCATACTTCACAGCAACCTCAAACTCTTAGGCTCAAGCCATCCTCTTGCCTCAGCCTTCCAAGTAGCCGGGACTATAGGTGCCTGCCATAACACCCAGCTAATATTTTTATTTTTAGTAGAGTGGGGGTCCTTACTCTTGCTCAGGCTAGTCTCAAGCTCCTAAGTTCAGGCAATCCTCCTGTCTTGGCCTCCCAGAGCCTCTGCACCTGGCCTATATATCCTAAATTTTAAAAAGTGAGCCAAATCTATTAGTTTCCTTTCTAATTCCAGTAGCAGGGAAAAAAACCAAGTCATTTGTATAATTATATAATTCTCTAGGATTAAACACAAGGTCTAACTTATCTTTAAACTCTTGTAGCACCTACTTTAGTAGATACCTGATAAGTACATCATGAGTTGAACTGAATTATTTGGTGGAGGATCTCAACCAGGAGTGATTTTGACCCTCAGGGCATCTGGTAATTTGGAGACTTTTTTTTTTTTTTGAGACAGAGCCTCAAGCTGTCTCCCTGGGTAGAGTGCTGTGGCATCACTGCTCACAGCAACCTCCAACTCCTGGGCTCAAGCAAGTCTCCTGTCTCAGCCTCCCAAGGAGCTGGGACTACAGGCACCCACCACAATGCTCGGCTATTTTTTGGGTGTAGTTGTCATTGTTGTTTAGCAGGCCCAGGCTGGATTTGACCCTGCCAGCTCTGGTGTTTGTGGCTAGCGCCTTAGCCGCTTGAGTTACAGGCACCGAGCCTGGAGACATTTTTGTTTGTTATACTGGTTATGTGTATGTGGGTATCTAGTAGATAGAGGCCAGGGATGCTGCTAAACATCTTACAATGCCTCTTACAAAAAAGAGCAACCCCCCACAACAAACTATCCATTCTGAAATGTTAACAGTGCAGAGTTTGAGAAATCCTGATCTAAGGCTTGCCTGAACAAAATTCACTCTTTCTTCAGCTTCCAGTCTTATAAATGTGTCAGTAAAAACATAGATGAGCCAATTTAGGCTCAACAGTGAATAAAAAGTAAACCAAATGAGACTATATTTCAAATTCAAAGTTCATAGAGCCTATTAGTGAGGCTTCCCCAATCCCCTGAATGTAACAGAGCCCAATGTCTGGGGCCACAATGGAATCAGAAGATAAGCAAGGACACAGAAGCCCACACTAATAAGCTGACCATTTTTTTTTTTTTTTGGAGACAGAGCGTCAAGCTATCCCCCTGGGTAGAGTGCTGTGGCATCACAGCTCACAGCAACCTCCAACTCCTGGGCTCAAGCGAGTCTCCTGTCTCAGCCTCCCAAGGAGCTGGGATCACAGGCATCTGCCACAACGCCCAGCTATTTTTTGGTTGCAGCCGTCATTGTTGTTTAGCGTGCCTGGGCTGGATTCAAACCCGACACCTTAGGTGCATGTGGGTGGCGCCTTAGCCACTTGAGCCACAGGCACCGAGCCAAGCTGACCATTTTTAAACTGGAAGTAGGACTTCCATTTCTCTGCACACTGAGACTTATATACTAGGCCTAGCTAGCCACCTTACCCTTTCCAGGTCCTGCCGCAGGTGCATAAACATTCTCATGCGAGTGTGAATATTTTCTTCTTTTGGTTGTACCAGTCTATTTTCTTCATCCTCCTTTGGAGGAAATAATGGCTTATTGAAGTTACTTTTCCGCTTCAGTTTCCAGTAGTTATAGATAAAGTCTATAGTCTGGGTAGGTAGCCCCAGCTCTGCGGCCACATCTTCCACTTGTACCAAGGAATAGAACTCCTCCTCCAGTTCCCGAAGCTTCTGTGCCCGCAGGCTGATTTTCTCACTTTTGACCTGGCTCTGTTCTGTAGCCCTGTGGTGGGGGTACTCAGCTTCCCCAGGTTTCAGCTTATTTTGGCTATGCTTGAGGCAGTATGACTTGAATTTCACTTCATCTCCTTCATCTAGAATGGTCTTCATCTCTAGATTGTGCTCAAAGGCACAGGTGACGTGGAAGGCAGTGATGCAGGTTTTTATTGAGCACTACAAGAAGAAAAGATGTGTTAAGGTGATAGGGTAGGGGGAAAGGGAGAGACCTGTGTCTCTGAACCTAAATCAACTGCTTGTAGGAAGCAAAGGAAAGACAGGGAGAAAGCTCGTCTTTGATTAGCTATGACAGATGCATTATAAGTAATCCAGGAAACCTGCTCTTATAGGAAATAGCAAAAACAGAGGCAAAAAATTTCAACCCCCCCTTTAAGGTTTCAGCTCAAGGAAATGTCAGTTTTCTGAAAAGCCTTTTTTCATGGCCTTGAACAGCCACATGGTCTCTTCTTCATGTCCTTCACATCACTCCATATGCTTCTATAATGGTACTTTTCATGCTGTACCTACAGTATAATAATTGTCACATTTCTGGCCATCAGTCTTAAAGACAGAAGCCATGCCATTCGCTTTGTATTGCTATCAACTATTGCACAAGCAGTTGCTCAGAAAATGATTCTGAACAAATAAAAGAAAAAACAAAGTCAATATTATTGTCAGAGCACCGACTGGTTCTACAAGGGCTATAGGGATTGCAAAACCTAAGTAACCTAACTTCTTTTGTTTTGGCCAGGGCCAGGTTTGAACCCACCACCTCTGGTATATAGGGCTGGAGCCCTATTCCTTTGAGCCACATGCACTGCCCAGTAATCTAACTTCTTTTTTTTTTTTTTTTT